TTACATCATATTTTGGAGTATACTTGACATATTTGCACATAATTTTGTTTGTTCACAGATCTTGCTTATACGTCATTGATCAACAATATTCTTTGATCGAAAGCTCTTCAATAGCTCTTGTAGTTTCGAATCATTATATTAACGGAAGGTATAGTTAGGGATTTGTTTCAATTCATACGTCATAGTGTAATCTTCTAAGTCTTTAAGACATCTTCAGCAACGACTCATAGATAACATTAAATGGATTTTAAGTGTTCATGATTTTTCAGAATATGAAGCATCATTTATGAGGAAGTACTGTCGATTGATCATCGATTTACATTGGAATATTTCTTCATTCACTTCATAGTAGCTCTCATTATCGTTAATGAGTCTTTGTATTCATAGGTGATCACATTCGAGTAGCGTATCATATATGTCTTGTTGTATTTCAAATTTCTTTCATCAATTTGAAAAACGAATATATGTTCATGATAGCGACAGGTTCGATTGTAACACTATGGTTGATCTTGTTTCAAGGGAAGACGAGAATATCTTCGGGATGTGCTTCAATACACGAATTCAAAGAGTAAGGAATTGTACGAGTTCTTACACCAACATCGCATGTAAATTCGGGATTTTTGCTTGAATGATTCAGCTTGATCATTCTAATGTCATTTTTTATGGTTATTACTCATACATTCATTTGTTAGGGTCATAACGGGGTTTGTTTGGTCAATAAGATCATTGATAATAATTTTCAAAGATAGCGTAATCGCATCAATCGTTTTGTAGTTCACAACGAGAGGTTCAACATAATACTTCAAGTGAGGGTAGTTTTACTATTGTGATCGAGCCACGTATTCCACAGGGTATAGTTTTCAAAGATCGGTATCATGAACATCTTTGGTTTTCAAAGAATGGAATTCAATCTTTTCAAGATTGATCAAGCGAGGTATTTCAAGGGTGTAGTTAATACAACAAGTTAAGTCATTCAAGGATGTGAGTCACAAGATACAAAGATAGTGTTTGCGACTTATCGTTGCCAATCATAGATTTTCTTTATTCAATGTTTCACTCTTTGGAAGTTACTCAAGGAGTCATTGTCCTAGGAAATAGTCGTTTTGACTTTTCGTCTCGGATTTGATCGTATTTCAGGACAGCGAATCTAACTATTCATTGGTCTCAATATGTCACATTGTCAGTAGACTACAGTATTGATGAGTAAACTTTTGTCTGTAGATAGTTGAAGCGAATTCATTTTTCTGTACGTATTTTGGCTGGTGATAATTACTTTTCCATCAATGGTCAGGTTCCAGAGACTATATATATCATGATTATGGGAAGAGTATCTCACATTCTCACATTATGGAAGGAACTTCTCGAACACTTCCTTACACCATAAGATTCGTTGGTCTTCTTGGTAGTCATTCTCTTGGTAGAAATCCAAAGTTTATGGCTACTGCAGTAGATTTAGGAAGAGAATTGATAAGGCGAAGAATTAGTCTTGCTTATGGAGGAGGCAACGTTGGCCTACAAGGAGCTGTTGCTTCAACAGTCTTTACCAATGGTGGTCTCGTTAGAGGTTTCATTCCTGGGTACATAGCAACACGACGGGTCTACGGACCTACATACGGCGTAGAGCACACAGTTTCCAGCAATTACTACAAATATTTTGAGATGAATCATGCCGTGGAAGCTTTCATCATTCTTCCCGGAGGAGTTGACACTATGGAAGGTTTGTTCACCTTGATCTCATGGGCTTCTGAAGGGTTACACAATAGACCCATTGGTCTCTTGAACATTGACGGTTATTTCAATAACCTACTCAAATTTCTAGACGATGCGGTGAGGCAGAACTTCATGGTTTCCAGTCAGAGGAAACTTTTTATTTCTTCTTTCTTTGTTGACGAGCTTTTAGACAAACTAGAGTTTGCTAAAGCTTTCCCGGATCCTAGAGCTAGTTATGACAACTTTGTAAATCCTGGAAGATTAGACTTAGAATTGCATCTCTAACATTTCCTTTGTAATCCAAGTTGCATTCATATCGTCCACGAACATTACGAGTTAGCCACAATTATCAATCTAAGCTGCATGGTCAATGCAATTACATTTTCTTCATTCTTTAGTTTTTCACTCTTGGTGTCACTGTTTCACTTCTTGTTTTTGTATCGTCACCACGTCACAATCTTTCATGTCGAATGAGTCAATTACTTCATTATTTCGATTAGACTACATTGACGTTTTCGGTGATAAGAAATTAGGTCATTAATTGCTTCATAACAAAGCATCAGTTCATTCAACAAGGTTGAGCGGTCTATAGCTTCTAACAAGCAGGTTATTTGAATTTGACCGAATAAGTCATTAGTTCATAGTAAAGGATAGCAATTCTTGATCGTTAGTTTGTTCAAGTTTCTTAACAGGGATTTCTGAGTATCTTGACCGTAAGTCAACCTTAGAGAATACTATGAATTCTCTAAGGTGATCAAATAAGTCATGATACGAGGTAAAGGATAACGAATTGTTCAACTAACAATAGTTGATATAGAATCTCATTAATCCTTCTTCATTCGCGTATGAACAAAACAGGAATTCTCCCAAGGAGGAAACAATTGATCAGATGATTCTTTGTCAAGAAGTCATTGATGGGAACACGTTCAATACAGAGTTACAAATATTAGTCCTTTCTAGGATCAAGATTGACAGAGAATTCAATTTCGCGGAATAGTGAAATATTAGACATTTCATATCAGAGAGGTGACATACTTTCGGTACGTTTCTTCAGTTCAGATATTTCTTTTTGGGTATCGCACGAATAGACTTCACACTTGAGATATTTTCGTATATATATTCGAGATGAACTTGGTCGGTTCAGAAATCAGCTTTGCTTTCACCTCTATAAGGTTACCATCATTGGTCTTCAGTTGAGGAATTCTTCATCACAAGTTGACAACAGCAACGACGTTCCGTCAGCCAATGCATACTAAGGATAATTATCAATTTCCTTGTATGGTTTTTCAAGGAGGTTTTGCAAGGAATTGTTGCATTAGGAACGATTTCGATTCATATGATATAATCGAATATTTGCATCTGAGTTAGACATCAGAATGGGATATAACAAAGTTTATTGATTCTAAACGTTCGTGTTTGAATCAGCGATCAGATCGTCTTGAGTCCACATGAGGATCTTTTACATTGGCTTCACAGATGTTGTTCAACATAATCAACACTAATCGTTTCTTCAAAGTCGTCTCACTTCCATGCGACCTTTCGATACAGATCAGTTTCGTTATTCGCGATGCGATGCGTATGTTAATAACGTATCAGAGGGTCATATGTTTTTGGTTTACTCTTTTGTCTCTTCACCGAGTATGAAAATTTGACTTGAGTCTATGCTCGATATAATTTCAATACTAATAATTGTTATCAAATGAGAATTTTAACAAGTAATATTTACTAAGTAAATTCATATACCTTTCCTGGAGCAGAGGGATGCGAGAGTCGTGGATGCGATTGACATTTTTTTAAGTCCATATATATATATATATATATATATATATATATATATATATATATATATATATATATTCCAACGGGCAGGCTCAAGCTTAATGTGGATGCATCATTCACTATATCTAACCAACGAGGGGCAGCCATATTGCGGGATGAGAATGGAAGATTTGTTAGGGCAGCTACTTTTAGTCTGGCATCACGCACTCCCTTTCAAGCAGAAGTTGCGGCTGGAATCGAGGCGATCAGCTGGGCACTCAAGGTACACTCCAGACTTATCTATGAGACAGATGCCCTAGACATCATCAGGCACTTAAGCACATACTCTACTCCCGATGGATCCCCGTTTGGAATCGATGTCTTACGTAAAATCATTGAAGATAATCAGATTGGCACTTCACACATTCTACGGGAAGGCAACCGGGCTGCAGATCTCCTAGCCAAAGAGGATAAAACACAGGATGCCAAATTCATTGAATATTGTACCCTTACTTCCTATACCCCAAATGTAATTGCTGCTCTGAAAAATGAGCATGTACCGTCTTTCAGATTTCAT